CTATATCGGTGACGATACTTTAGATACAGAAATGGTCTGCGCAGCTCGATGCAACGTTCCATCCTTCAATTGACTCGTTGCGAATCCATCTTTGCACATTCACGTACCGAAATACGCGCGGCTTCAATGTTTCTTTCTGTAGCGAATATTTCCGTACGCCAATGCACAATAGTCCTCGCAACAGTCAACATTTTTTTCGGAGCAACTCTGAAAGCTTACCCGATTCTATTTCGGCAATCTGGACACCCATTGCCTACCTGCAATATTGTTGTTGTTCCACCCGTCGCGCTCCTTTTTTTCGAGTTCCATTTGTGCTTGTCACGCACTGTCAAAAACACGTCCGGAATGAAATTTCTATCACGTTCTTTATTCCATCGAGAACATACATCCATTTTAATTTTACCTCGAGCCTTTGATTCTTCCCCTTTTCCCTTTTATCTTGTTTTACCTTCATTTGTTCAGTTTTGATAGATGAAATCGGCATAGGAGCAGACGCTGTTTGATGTCGACGTCGCACACGATTTTTAGAAGGGACAATAAACGCGTCAAAATCGTGCAGTATTTATAGCCTCTATCAGATTCAAAACTATGGAGATTTTTTTTTTTTAAACGTCGTGCCATTTATTAGCGTTTGCAATTTCTTAAATAATACAATCGTCGACTTATCTAATAGTTGTCTAACAAAAATAACAATAAGGCTCAATAAGCGATCGTTGTGTGCGTATTATTTGGAAATAAATGCATACTGCTGCGTAGGATTTGCAGCACGTATTTTGCACATGTCGCCGTATATAATTTCATGACAATTTCTCGTTTTCCTCTAGAATGAACATTACGATCGATACAACTTCTATGATAATACGTCCCAATCGTCGCACTGTACACGAAATTGTTTCTACAACAATGTAGGATATTAGGCCTTATCCGCGTCACATTTCGTTCCGGGTCATCAGTCCGATCTGTACTTAATAACATTTTTGAAGAGATATTTCCGAGGAGCCTGGTACACCGTATCAAATTTCTCCATAAAAGAGACACGAGAAAGCTGAAATAATTACTTGTTTTTTTGAATACTCTCTGTAACTGTTGAATACTCGCTGTAACTTTATGCAAGATAAACAAACGAAAAACAAATTTAAAAAAGGCAAATTAAAGTGCAATTTCTGTCATGATAACATAACAGTTTTGTGTCTTGTGCTCATACTCGTTCAATTTTGCCGGCCTTGCCAAGCTGTCGCAACAACAAAAGGCAATTAACTTTATTACTTCGCCCCTCGTCGACGCTGCACTTTCTCAATTTTCCCCTCACGGAGATTTCCGTTTAGCCGTTTGGAGGGCGGCGTCACCATTAAACTTACTTTTCTTCTACGCGAGTGAGAGCGGACGAGAGCCTGCCGGAGAGGCGGATATTGGAATCGCGATATTTTCATTCGCAAAAATTCGAAAGGGAATATGTCCTTCACGGAGGAAAAGTCGTCCGTTCGTGAAGTGGCATATTCCAGAAATGATGCTGTCGTGGCATACGAACTTCGAATTTTCAGATTACCAAAATCGTTGCTGTTAATATCCCGCAAAACTTGACGTGCATTCACGTATAGAGAGCTCATTCGCATTTAAAACTACAGATGTACATGCATGTCGCAGTATGTGACGAGGCTTTATACGCATCCGAGTGTTATCAAAATCTTGCTCAACCTTTTATTTTACGGGAGACACAAATGGCCAGCAACACGCGTAGTCATAAAACATTTTTTAGTGCGCCAATGAAATCTGTATTCAAGATTTTCGCGATGGTCTGCATTGCAATAATATTTCGATCTCGCAATAAATCACGATTTAGTAACTTCTTTTTATTTTTTCGAAAAAAAAATCGAGAAACGAAATCGCCGAGAGATCCATAAAAGATTTCTCATTTCGAAGATCGGGAAAAAGGGCTGGAAGAACCGCTCTCGCGCGAGCGGCACATAACGGTCATAAATTGCGGTTTATGAGCTTCGACGTTCCCCCTTTTGTTTTTGATTAACGTTTTAAAATGCGCAACGCGCGCATCGCCGCGCAAATTGCCATCAGAAAGGATCACCCGGGAAGCCCGCCAAGCAGGCCAGGTCAATAAAATTCGGTATAAAGAACGTGCGTTGCCCGGACATGTAAATTCGGTTTGGAGAGTCATGTGCTTGCCGTCACGGCTATATGTCGTGCCGCATGTCGTTCGTACGTATGTCGTGTGTACGTTTACCCGAACACAATATTTGCGTACTGTCGGTCTTTGAGAGAACAGTACAATGGTCCTCGTCCAAAGCGACCGCGCGACGTCGTGCCCGCAACGCGAATAAACCCGCTCGCGACGCGGCTTCCAACTAAAATTAATTCGTCTCCTGCCATAATGACCGTCGGGCGTGCTGCGCATTATTCATCAGGACCTCCGACTCGGTCGATCTAAAATTATTTTAGCCGCTTATTCTGAGTAAAGTAAGCCCCGTTTTGAAAAGATTAGAACTTTTTGATTTCCTCTCTCGTACGGGTTAAATTAAAATTTGATAGATTTCTTAATCAATTGTGTATATATTATGAAAAACTTAGATAATATTTTAAAATAATGATAAATTCCTTAGTTGTTGAAGTTATAATTGATATTTCCTTTACGACGCATCGAAAATGGCCAATATATAACGCTTTTCAATTTTTTACAATACGTGTCTTTAGCCTAAGTGCTTAAATTTATTTTAGTTCTTCCTTACTTCGAAACTTATCCTATTAATCCTCTTGGGAGCCAGAAAGCAATTACTTTTATACCCACCAAACTACACTTTCTCTCGGACGTGAGATCCTAACAAGGCACTTTCAACTTTAATTGGAATCATCTGTCATTTGTATTTATCGATTCTTTGTTAATAAAATATTCTTTCTACATTCAAATACAACGCAATAAAAAATTAGATTGCATTCTTGTCTTAAATTCAGTTAGAGAAGTAAATTAATTAGCTGGAATTTATTAAAAATAAATAGCTTACAATTATAAATTATAAATTAATTAATCGAACAATTAAACAGCCGTTATTTTTCCGGGCGCTTGAAACCATCAAGAGGCATTACTCGTCGGCATACCATTATCGAACGTAAATTCGCGAGCTCGTTCGACTCGTATTCGACGAAATTCCTCGCTGCTTGTTTTGCACAGTGTTATTTTACATCGCATTAACGGGAAAATAACAGAGGAGAGTAATGAAGGAGAACGCCGGCGCAGATTTTCTTGCGATCGTTTTTCTCCGCCGCCTTAATGGAGGATGCTGGGCGCGCGAGCGCGAGATTATTTGCGAAACAGCTCCGGAGAGCAGGAATCTCGTTATGACGTTTCTCGAGTCTAACACTTCGTTATTCTTGTGCAATAGGTCTCGGTCACGTATTTTCATTCACTTTTTATTTAATTATTCTACTCACCCTCTTCCTCATTTTCCTCTATCCGAGCCTCTTTCGGCGTGAACCTTTCTTTATCTCTCTCTCTCTCTCTCACACACACACATACACACTTTTACTTTTTCTGTATAAAAACAGAAAGTTTTAAACGTCTCATGTTGATTGGCAAAATTAATCTTTTCGTGCTTATAGTGCGAAAATGTAACACGACACAATTTCGTTTGTCACTTTTGCAGCAGTAGATATAATATAAAAACCGCCGAAATATATGCAAGAATTTTTGCCCGACTAGAAACAAATCGCAACTCAGATTTAGCGCAGAAAAAAATTAGCTATCGGTGCGTGATAACTGAATAGTCCCCCGAGACTTATTCCGGGTTAACGAATTCACAGGACGACAGGAGCGAAACGCGAGCTTTCTCCGCGCGGATTTTGCGCCCTTATCATGTCACGCTTCGTTACTATATCTAGCAAAAGTGGATGAGCCGTAATCTCGTGCTGCAAGAAAACGGGACTCGTTCCGTTCCGTTGCAGTCTCTTTGACGTCGCAGGTGTCATCGTGCACGAAGATAATACCGGGATATGCTCCACCTCCGGGGGAACTTGCTTATTTCTCCTCGCATTTTCAATGAGATTTGCCGTGCTTGGCCTTGAGTTGCACCGAGTCGGCATTATTTCTGACGTGGATTCATATTACTTACTTAACAAAGTATATTTAACAGAGAATTTGAAGACAATAAGCGGAAGGCTACACGTTACAAATTTTGAAATTGGGTATTCTAATCGGTTTTTACAAAAACTCCTTTACGAACCTTAATAAAATCCTATTACAAAATTGTCGGAATTTAATTCATATAACTGAGGTTTTAAAAAGAGTCTCTATTTCTCACGTTTTCACACTAGGCTCTTTGTTATTTTCACGCACATTGTACTTTACTCCGCCTCATTACGTAGGAAATCCTATATACTTATGAGAAAAATGAAATATCTGATTGTGAATAGAATTCTTTATACGCTGCACTTCATCATTATATCTGCAGATGATACCGATGCAAAGGTTTATTAAAACATTTTTCTGAGTATAGATATCACTTTACCATAAATTCTTAATATTCTTACCGGAACAACACTTTCTCTCGGTATATATTAATTTTATTAAATCTCTTATTATAAAACAAGAAAGCATAAAATTCTAACGCAAAAGTAGAAATATATACGTATTTATAATTATAGAAATAAATTCTATAAAGGAACTTAGAGAAGTAAAAGGAATAATAGTAAAAGAAAAGAAATTGTAGAGGAATCTCTTAAGAATTTAGAAAATATATAATGTATTATACAGATTGTGTAAAAGTTATTATTAAAATAATTAATAAACAATATTGCAGACGTCTTTATACAATAAGTTTTAAAAGCTGCCAAAAAAATTTATTTAATCTTGATGAATCGCAATAATCGCAGATGTCCACGAAAAGAGATATTTCAAAATACGAGTAGATATAGAGTGAGAAAGCACTAAACTAGCAAAAGCATCATAGGATTAAAAAGGAATGGTCGTTTACAGCCACCACCGTTTGATGTTGCAGGTGTCATAGGCGGGGTGAGGCATCGTCTGAGTGGCGGCTCCGCATCCGCCCTGAGCTACGGGGGCGAAAAGTACGGCAGAAGCGGAAGGTCCGGCGACGGTAGAGGCGGGGGCGGCGGCAGGGGGAAGGAGGATGACACCAAGAGTGCAGAGAACGTGTCCAGGGGGGTTTTACCCTCGAGGCAGAGCCTCTTGGACCTCGTCAGCGGTAAATTCATGGGCCGACACACACCCACTCACCACTACTACTATCAGCAGCAGCAGCAGGTTGGTTACTGCCCGCGATCGCACGATAAAATATTCGTTTCACTGCCACACTCGTCGGGGAAACGTCCCGAGGAGGACATTTTGCACGTGAACTCGCTGTCATTGAACACTTCGATGTCGGTCGTCAAATATTCTTTCCCAGAATCTGATTTTTACCGGTTTTTCAAATCTATCCACGTTGAAAGAACTTAAAGTTCGACCGAGAAAAGTGAATTCACGTATTTATATTATTAGAATCTTTTTATAGGAACTTCTAAAAATACTCATAAAGTTATCAAGATTTAATTTCTTTAATAAATAAACTTTATATATGCACGCAATGCAAAAAACATTTTTTTTTTAATATGAATGAATTTACATTGTTATCATATCCGACATTACGGGATAGATAAAGAGAATGAGAACGAATAAAACACAATGGAAAAGTAAGAAAATAGAGGAAAAGATCCTTTATATAACATAGGTGCTTTAACCAGTTAACTATTTCAATAGGGTTAAAGCAACGAAATAACCGGTATTGTATTTACTTTTGTAAAAAGCGTCATGCAGGCATCTCTGAGTTTGCCAGGACAGGCGCGTTTAATACTAAACTATTCGACGCGGAAAAAAATTTTAATAACAATCCCGCGAGCGGATAACAATGTTCGCAGTATCCGTTTCATTATGCGCGACAACCGCGTATACGAGCCATATATCTTAATGGTTCGACGGAAAAAACCGATATGGAAAATATGTGTAACAAGAATCTCCGAGAGATGAAAAATAAACAGCTATGTATTGCCCGTGTATATGTAGCCAGCAATTGAGCAAAATATGATGAGTACATTAAACAACCGGTATTGTCGACTGTGCAATGGTCACGGGAAAAACAGCGAGTTTCGGTAAAATTTATTTAAAAAAAATTAATCATATCGATGACCAATTTTTCTCAATAAATAAAAGAGACTGGTGGTCATTTGTGCCATGACATATATTTTACAGCATATTTGAACTGCTCATTTATAAATATATATGCGATATTTATAAAGATTACAATATACATTTGTAGATAATTTTTTTGCTAAAAATCTGTAGTCGTTGCACTCTTGCATATAAAGTAACGTCGTAGTCGTAAAGTAACGTCGCCTCGTGACACTTCATACATCGTAATTGGTGTAGGTGTATTCTGTGTCGCAGCGATACTTCAGCTCGTCACGGGACTCGCTTTCGGGGGGATACGTGAATCGGGGGGCGAGCGAGCTCGATCTGAGCCGCAAGCCGAGAAGAAGGGACCACCTAAGGGGCAGATTCAAGCTGCCATATACAGTTGCGCTCACGTCCTCGCGTGACCAATCGCACCTCCACACACCGGCATCAGTCAATCATCTCAGCAATAGTAGCTGCAACGGCACTGAAACGTGAGTACTTCATTGGCGAGCAATCGCGCGGGCGACCGATTTCAATTATCGTCGGGTATCAAGTTTCGTTTACGTATCCTTGAGAGCCATTCTTTTTCCATATTTTGATATCGAGAAGAACGAGTATTCGCGGAAAAATTCAATTTGATGCTAATTTCCCTCCTTGTGGGAGATCAAATCCGCGATAAAAGTTCAGGAAAATGAATGTAACGAAGAAGATCTGTAGTGAAGGATCATAAATATTCAAGTGACTTCTTGGAGGTTTATTTAATACCGTGACGGCGTTTCTTGCATTCCTAAAGATCGCTTAATTGTGCCAGGAGCTTCTTTAAACAGAAATATCTTCACAGCAGCACGGAATTGTCGGAAACAAAATTGCAGGGGGAAAATTCCCCTATAATATAGTGGAAACTTTTTTTTTTAATCGATGAAGCCGCATGGCGCGTGTACAAAATTGCACGGGCTCTTTTCCGGCTGCTGCGAACATTCAATACTTTCCACATCGTAATTTTTCACATTGATACGCAAATCCTCGCACACAGTGCGAACGGTAACGGGAAAAAATGAACGGCCGCGTGTCGCGGAACGTGTCCAGGGACAAAAGTAATTAATCAGCGCACGTTTGCGCTGAATTACTGTCTCAGGAGGTACACGGCGCAACAACAGCAACAGCAACGCGGTAGTAGAGGCTTTCCCGGCCAACCTGGATCGAGGAATTTTCGCACGGGTGCGCCAAATTGGTCCTTCATCTTCGATCCTGCGGGACGTCTTTGTTACTATTGGTCGATGGTGGTTTCTCTTGCCTTTCTTTACAACTTCTGGGTGATCATCTATAGGTTTGCCTTCCAGGAGATCAATGGTTAGTCCGCAATGCGCTTACGACTTCTTGCGAATTTTAATTTTAAACGCGTTCACAGGAGCGTTTTATGTAGGACATGTCCTAAGAGATGTCTCTTTTAAAGTTTAGAAATTGAGTGTTTGAATCGAAGATACATTGATTTAGTTTCTTGAGATATTTATTAAATCGTGAAATTGTAAAAGAATTTAGTTTTTATATTATGTCACATAAGCGAGATCCATATTCAAATAGATTTCAATAAATACAAGACTTTTAATAAGATAGGATGTAGAAATTAAAACGCTCCTGAACACGAAAAATTATTAAATTACGTCATGATATGTATTCTTTGATTTATCCATATGAAAACGTTCCCCAAAGTAAATTGCTTTTAATAACATTTTATATATTCAAGAGTTTTGAGAAATTTATTAAACGAATTAGATTTTTGTTAAAACGATCGTAATTGTAATGTTTACTTTAATTAAGTATCAAAGCGAGTAATAGCTCTACGATTTATGAAACGATACGCGAATTGAAACATATGAATTAAATAGAAAATAAAATCGCTATGAAATATTTTGCATATACAGATCATTGTAGAAGCTGCTTTTTCCCAATTACGAATACAAAAAGCTAGGTTAAATATAATGGTGATCAATACGGAAGCATCAATAGATTTCGACCCATGAACCTATTATAACTGATTGAAAATGAAAAGATTTTAACGAATTCGGGCATAAAAAGGAAATATTTCAAAAGCAGATTTAACTTTCAAAAAGGATTTATCGGGCATTAAGGATTAATTAATACTAATCGTAAATACGTATGTTGTACATATTGAAAATGGGCATTGTTTTGCTTGCGAATGCAGGAGAGACTCGTTGGGTGTGGTTCTGCCTGGACTACTTCTCGGATTTTTTATACGTGCTCGACATAGTATTTCACATTCGAACGGGATACTTGGAAGACGGCGTGCTGCAAACCGACGCCACGAAATTGAGAAATCATTATACGAACAGCACCACGTTTTACATAGACATCCTGTGCCTGCTGCCCCTCGACTTTTTATACTTATCTATAGGATTTAACAGTATGCTGCGAAGTTTTAGACTCGTAAAAATTTACCGGTAATTGTCAATCTTTTTACTACCTTTTACGAAATTTACGATACTCTTATTTAATAATTATAAATGAAATGATAAATTTAAATGCCAAATTTATGATAACATTTTTTTGTGTGTGCAATATTTTATTTATCATACTTATTAATGTGATGCCATATATTCTTATATACTATAAAAATCATAGATTTAATGCATGATGCATGATATACACAATAATTTTTCGGCGCGGCATTAAGTGGAGCGCAACGAATTGAAATATTTTTTTTATAAATTCTTATACATATCGCGGAATCCAAAAACGTTCTCAACTCATAAAAATCTTATTTCCGTTTCAATGATTTAAACATGTATACGAATCCGACCCGAAAACTAAAGTCATTGTTGCAAATTTCTTTTCTCGTTTCGATTACTATAATTGACTTCGAATGTGCAAGTTCGGATTTCCTCTCGTGCAACAGCATTAAGTGAAGTGACTTACTTGGAGTAAAGCGAGATTGAAAAAGATTGCGAAAGTTCGCGATTAATGTCATAGTAACGCGATGCTGATCTTTTACACGCAAACATTTGCACATTCTGATATCAACGTTTCAGACGTACCGCAAAAAATACGTTGAACGAACGGGGTGGCTTGTATTGTATCTCAATATTATTCTTTATTAGAAACAACATTATGTGAAAGAAAAACGCGACTTATTATCGCGAGATTTCTGCGTCGATGAATCCGGCAGCCAATGCTTTGTAAAATTCGATTTTGTCAGGACCGATGGCACCGGCTTATTTATTACTAATTGTGCGTATCCTACTTCCATCTAACATTGACATTGTGGACGCGACATTTGTATTAAGCAAACGGAACTCGGAATCACTGACCACATTTAGTGACAAATGGTGGCATTGAGAACACAGACCATAGACATATTTACGAAGACTGACGGTAAAAGGGGTCGAAACTAAAGAGAAGACAAATGTAATATGGTAAACGTAATAACCCATTCTATTTAACGTTTTCATTAATCGTTATCTCATACTGAAATAACAGTCAGTGGATTGAGTTTATTTTAACTTGAACACTAAAAATAGCAGTAAAATTAAAAATGAAAATTATGAACTTCTTTCAATATTTTCTTTTTTCGGTGTCTTCTACAGTCCATCCTGTAAATTATTAATCGCGATAGTTTCAATCACGGCGCCACGCTGCGCCATAAATCGCTGAATTGCACGAACGGCGGAATCTCGCCGCACTCGTAAATAATAATTGGAAAAAAAGGACAGGAGCATATTTTAACCTGTTGAAGGCACAAGTTCGAGCCTCCCCGTCGTACGCGTGATGATTAAAAACACGTTCGTCCCACGTTCGTTGAACGCGCTCCACGTGATTCCCTGCCGCCGAATATCCTCTAAGAGGAATTCTGAAATTTATCGCTTCGCGACCGCCCGGAATTTCCGCCAATTTTCTCAAACCGCTTTCTCCGTCTCTGACGTAGGTTCTGGGCGTTCATGGACAGAACCGAGCGACACACGAACTACCCGAATCTGTTTCGCTCCACCTCCTTGATACATTATTTACTAGTGATCTTTCACTGGAACGGGTGCCTCTATCACATTATTTATAAGAACAACGGCTTCGGCAGTAAGAACTGGGTGTTCAGCGACTCCGAGACGGCGGACGTTGTTAAGCAATACCTGCAAAGCTACTACTGGTGTACTCTTGCCCTAACGACCATCGGTGATCTGCCCAGGTATTTACTTATTTATTTATGCGTCGACGTTACATGCATGTTACACGGGTTACACGCAAGAAAATTTAGGGCGAATATATCGTTGATATATTTGACCAGACATTTCTCAATGCTCGGAAAGCTTCTTCATGAAATTCTCTTATTCGCATATGCAAACTCTTATTCGCAAATTTTATTCATGCTGTTCTACTTTTATACAGCAAGCTACATTTGATCTTGTAAATAGCATATGAAATGAAACATGGAATGGCGGTATATACAGTTTGTCTTGGACGTGTACAAAGGAAATTTTGCCGTTTCAGCCGTCGCAAAACGTATTATGCAACAATTCGAGTGATAGTCATTTCGTGACCTATCTGGTCTTTCGCAAATCCGATACTTTTCTTCGAAAACGTCAAGGAAACTCACGGGAATAGCTTTCGCACAATTGTAATCCATTAACTATATTTATTCTTAAATCAATACTTATAAAATAAAAGTATATATAGACCGTGTATACGCAGCTACCAGAATTCAAATAACGATTTTTTTTTTGTTTATAATTCTATAATATGTTCGTATTTCCAGTGTGGTATTCCCACGAATCCGCTATCATTAACCACATATAACATTCCGCGTGTAATTCCACGGATTCGCGCGATGATGATCCGTCTGCAGTTTTGAATAAAAAAGCGACGAACAAACCGTCACCGCTACTACGTTATAATGCTGCACCGCGACGCTAAACCAAAATGTAGCTGTGATAAAAATCGCCGGCAATGTGAATGCGAAATATCCCAACCACTCAAATAAAAGAAAACCGCCGGACAAACAATCAAATAACCGATAACCAAATTCATAAATTTTTTACAGTATTTAGATCTCTGCAATGCAGCATCGAGAATGCATTCATACCGATTATACTGCGATTTTCTTTGACACAACGTCTGTGTTTTAATTTTTTATATATGCAATTCCAAAATTTGTTAAATTTTTTTATTTGAAGCCCATGGGATATTTTAATTATAAAAATGTTTGCGAATGCAGAAGAAAGAAAGCCCGAAGTCATTCTTTCGGACTCGATGAAGAACCGTATAATCGAGAAAGAAAGGAGAATCACACAGTTGCGAATAAATGAGTCCAGTATTTTTGTTAGCGCACTTAAAATAGAGAAACTCATGCGAAAGAGTGAAAAAATACCGGGGAGACATTTCCACGTCGGCCAATGTATTTGTGTTGGACAAAAGAATTTCTATTCAAAGTTAGTTTTCATTTGGAACGACGACATCGGTGATGAATGATTAATTAACAGATGTAAAAAAGAATTGTTTTATGACATAGTCAAAGGAACGTATTTCTCTATTCGCGCATATTTAGGAACATTCATAAAATTGTTCTCTTGCGACGAAATCGTTCAATTGTCGCGTGAAAACCGTGGGAGCGAAAAACGCAAGTCGCTTAACGTTAGCGAAGCACTTTAATATCTCTTATTCTCTATATTTTTCCCCTTATTCTTTCCAGACCGAGAAGCAAGGGCGAGTATCTCTTTGTGATTGGTCAGCTGTTCTTCGGTCTGCTGCTATTCGCAACGGTGTTGGGTCACGTCGCAAACATCGTCACTTCCGTCAGCGCGGCGCGAAAGGAGTTTCAGGGTGAGTCGGGTTTAAGTTCCTCGCATGTGTATCTCTTTGCATTAGCTCTCTCGCCAGTCGTACTTTAACTTTTTATATATCAAACGGAATTCGTTCGACGAAAGCAAAGTAAGACCTGCCGTCGTTTTTTCTTTATGTCCAACGAACGTCGATTTTTATTGCGACGCGTTCGAATCTCCATCGTATTTTATGGAACTTTATTTCGATCCCACTAGTATCGTAAGAAGCGAAATGGGAACTCACGAAAATATTCATCTCTTGGCTCGTGACTGTAAATTATTCGGCACACGTGATACGTTTTATACGACGCGAAATGCGATTTACGATTTCCACTTGACGCATAAAACGAAAGTTCTCACGAAAGTTCGCAAAGTTCATATGCTACGTTTACGCGACGGTGGTAATTAGGTACTCATCCAAAGTACGCGAATAAAGTAAATTAGAACGCAAAGTGTAACTGGCATTAGCGTGAGTTTTTATCCAGATTTTACTTCCGAAGCTTACGAATTAACTTACGCAATACGCAATGGCTAAACAAAAGTTATATGGATATAAAAAAAAAACAATAACTATGTCGCCGTTAAATCAAGTTAAATAAAATAAAATATTTGATACAACAAATAAATCGCTGCAAACTAATTCGTCTTAAAAAGACGTAAACCGTTAGAAATAATTAGTTTTACCCATTTATAAGAAATAAAACCTGCAATGTGAAACAATAAAGCGGATCGAAACATTTATGCAACTAAATAAGTTTTTCTAACAGATTTGCTGTGTCTTCTGAAGCATGTAGTAAAATATGACCCCATCTCTTTTTGCCAAGTCGTTCGAATTACAGCTTGGCAAACTGCCACGAGGGATCGTTTCCCTCGTCCGTTTCGGATCTGCCGAGCGTATCCCATCGTGCATGATAAATAACTGCATTTTCAATTAACGCCGAGTAGGAAATGGACATTTCGTTCTGCGTCCAAGCCCCGTTTTAATTGCGCCGCATCGCAGTTTCGCCGCGTCTGCATTTCCGCCCTTACACCTTCGTTATTTTACGACTCACTGAGCCGCTCTCTGCACGCTGCTTCCCGCAAAATGCGCGATTCGATGGTGCGTTCCGGCATAAAAGCGGGCGCACGCTCGGCATAGTGGCGGTCACTTCAATCCGAGAATACTCGCGGGCCGAATAATCGCTCACACATTTTCGTTTCCCATTTATATCTTTCAATCTGTTGTCAGTTTACGGTATTCATTCTGCAAACCGTACATTTTTTTCTCATTTTTTCATCAAATAGTACGTAGCAGAAGATTGCGCTTATCTTCATTCAAACTTGTTCAAAAGACGTAACGATCGTCCAAATGACCATGGAAAAATAATTACTGCATTACAGCTCTTAATTACTGCGGAACTATTTTTTAAATTTTTCTATACATTTTACATTTACTAAATTATTTTCTTTTTTTGCAGTAATTATTTTCTAATAATGTTTTTTTTATATAGATATATTAGCGAAGGCAAAAAAATTGTATGAGATAAAGTAATTTAGAGATTAATGTAATTATCATATTATACTTGTGATTGTTTCCTTAATTTGTTGAAATACTTTTACTCATTGTTAATAATTTTTTACACATACAAAGTATTCCACATCTACTTTATAATACATTAATTGTGTACTTTGGAGATTGATTAAAATAGAAAATCCGAATATAAAAATGCCACAATTGCAGTAATTTTCTAATTACAAGCAATCAAGATCGTTTTTATATCTTCGATGATAAAATAATTTATTTGCGTGGTAGGAGATGATGAGAATCAATTTATTATTATTTGTTTCTCAATTTCATGTCTCAGGAGAAACGGAATTGTGATTTTAATGAACTAAGAAATCAAGGTGGATTGTCACATTTTTCCCGACAATCTATTTTATTTTTTTGATTTACTAAAATCTCAAAAATTATTTGTTAAAATCATGCAAGACAACAAAATTTTGGGAAGAATAATAATAATATAAATATTATTTTACACGAAAACTTTTTCGATCACAACGAAAGTAAATCTTATTTTTCAAACAAACGTTAAATGCTTTGAGCGATAATAGAGATGTATTAATTTAGAATGTAAAAAGTCACCACGCGCGCGTGAATATTCTATAAAGCCGTTAAATATTTCTTAACGATGTCGATAACAATTCGGTTGGCGCGCGGCCTTGGTTTTTGTCTACGGCCTACGCGCTGCGTAAACAAGGACACCGCGCCGCGCGGGCGCGCGCTGCTATCACTCGCGCGCCGGCTCTCGAGCGAGAAGGTTGTGGGAGGAACTGTTTCGTGTGTTGTCGACTTACTATCGAAAAGTGATCGCGATAATTGCGTATCGAGGCGATGGTTATCTACTTCCGAAAGAAATACTCCACGCATTTTAATCTTTCAGAACAGCAATCGAAATGATAGATAATGCGGGAATTATGAATGATAGATAATTACTGTTTCGTTACATTTACAGTAATTATTCTTTATATTCTATGATACTTAGATTCTAATATATTTTACGCATAATTTGAACTTTCCGCAAATTTAAACGTGCGAAGTCTCATTCAATCGTCGTTCTAATAATTAAAAGTAATCGTAATTAATTGGCAATTAAATTTTATTTTTGTAATTTTTCGTGATGCTCGAACGAACAGACAATAATGTGAGTCGTTCCGTCGTATTGCTAGTACGTATTATATTACTTTCTGAAACGCGATCATGCGCGATTATTAATATCATTAACAATTGTCGGATCGCGCGATGTAGTAACTCTTCCGATATAACGACGCGCATCGAGGCGATGGCTATCTATCAAATATTTCGTGCAATTTATTTCTCGAAGCCGGAATTAAAACGAAGGGGAATAATAAATTACTATTGTGTGTTACAATATTACTGTGAACAATAATTTTTTTTTTATAATGATGTTTATTAATAGATATATTTTACATCGCGGTTTGAATATTCCGTAAATTTAAACATGAATTATTTAGTAGTATTTCTCTGAATTAGTGAGATAACTAATTACCGAATCGATGTAATACATATCTTTTTGTTACTTAAATCTATTTTTTAATTTCAATTAATATTTCGTATATATTTCGCGAGATTACGCGTTACATATATACTAACAATAAATCAAAAAATTTGCACGAAGTATTACGTGATCGTAATTATTTGGCCATTAATTTTATTTTCACAGAATAGAAAGAAAAAAGGTCTTGTTTTATTAAAATTATATGATTTTGTTCTTCTTGGGATGTAAAAACATAAAATTGACATAAAATATTAAATTGATTTAGGCATACGTAACGCAATTGATAAAATAATGCAGATTTTACTCTTGGAGGTCGCATATCGAAATTAATTTAAAACGTTTTTTCGAAAAACGGAATACGGAGTACAGAACGGCGTGAATATTTTTGGAAGCGTTAAATATTTCCTAACAATTCGGTTCGCAGCCTTGGTCTTTGTGCTCGGCATGCTGCCGCGGCCTTAGTCTTTTTTTATCATTACGCCGTTAACATCGAGCAGCCTTGACCTTAGCACTTGTATAAGGCATGCTGCCTTATACAGAAGTTGCTTCGTACATCGCATTATTATCTCTCGCGATAATACCTCAGTCATGACAAGTACGACGAGACTATTTTCTATAAAAAGATATTATTAACTCTCATAGAGTTTTAATTATCTTTAATTAACTCCTCGCAGGCTATATTGGTAAAATAGCGTCGATAACTGTCACTCCAAAATTTTGTCATTAACTAAACGAACACGGAACAGATCGACTTCGAATTGGAATTGCTGTCTCGAGTCGTTTAACTATTAAGAACTGTAATTTATTTCCTGCTTTGATATTTGTCAAATGTGTAACTTTAACATTTGTATACGATGGTTTATTCGAGATTCGTCTCTGCCACTCGAAATTCGTCTCTTGTGTTAATTTACCTTCGGGAGTACCGTACAAAGTGTCACGCGATCTTAATTAAAGTGTTTTCGCGAGTGTTGTGTGAGTGCAACGAACCTTGGCAACCTGAGAGGAGATGGAGGCCTAGGAGAGGCATCATGCACCGGCGGAACAACTCTAGAGTAGGTAATTATTTATTATGTTACTTATGAATTGCTTAAATTCTTGTTATCTTATGATTTATGTAAGATTATTAGAGAAAAAGTTTTTATTCATAAAACTTTGTAAAATTTTGTAGTTAAAAAAGATTTTTTTGTGAGGAATTTATAAATAATTTCTTTATTTTTTTATTTACTTGAAAGGGAAACATTTAATGCATGCAAAGATTATTTTGTGAAATATTAATATTTGGACACTGCTATAATCCAGATTTTATATTTGTATTTTACAGGTCAACGTGATGTTACAATTCCGCTGCTGCGCATCGTATGGGTGAGTGACAAAATATGCTTTATTTTATTCGAAGGCAATGGATCTGTGAATATTATAGAATGGAATAGAATCGGGAATAGATATCGGTAATATAACATTTCACAATCCCATTGCTTTTACTAAATAATAAGATTTTCAAGCAGTATTGAGAACACCATTAGAAAATATTTATTTCTACATGTGTATCACAATCGATTAAATTTTCAAGTTTGTTGCTTAGATTTAAAAAAAAGAAAAAGGAGTAAAATAAAATTACAAGCAAAAGTAAAACGTGAACATTTTTGAAATATGTTTTTATTTTATGTTATAACTCTCATGGTGTTTATATTGCATGGAGATCCAAAGATGTTTTTTATTATTAAAAAAATATTTACTTATAAATAAAAATAAATTGGTACGAAATATAGCAGGGACTTTATTTTTCCTCTCGAATAATTTTTCGTTATTTTTCGTTAATATTTGAAGCCTGCATTTGGCTTCGCTACATTTCTTTCCTAGGTTAAGTTTTTAGACTGTTACAAGAAAGCAATATATTCTAAGTTTTTTTTACGTGTGCGTCATAATATATATCATAAATATAAAT